TAAGTGTTTTGCCAGGCGTGGTGGCGCATGCCTTTAATCCCAGCACTTGGGAGGCAGAGGCAGGTGGATCTCTGTGAGTTCAAGGCCAGCCTGGTCTACACAGTGAGTTCCAGGACAGCTGGGGCTACAGGAGACCCTGTCTCAAAAAGACCAAAAAAATTTTTTTTAAAGTGTTTTTAGCTTTATTTTTATTTTATGTGTATGTGTGCATTGCATGCATATGTGTAAGTGTACCTGTGTCATGCAATACCCACAGAGGACAGAAGAGGACATCAGCTCCCCTGGGACTGGAGTTACAGATGGTTGTTAATTGCCATGTGGGTGCTGGGAATTGAACCCCAGTCTTCTGTAAGGATAGCTAGTGCTTTTAACTGCTGAATGATCTTTCCAGCCCCCAAAGTTTTAAGTTTTATCTGATTAGGCCAGCTGGGGCTACAGGGAGACCCTGTCTCAAAAAAAAGACCAAAAAAAGAGAGATGGCTCAGAGGTTAAGAGCACTGACTGCTCTTGCAGAGGACCCGGGTTCAATTTCCAGCACCCACATGGCGGCTACGAACTGTCCTCAACCCCAGTTCCAGGGGAATCCAAAGGCCTCATCTGACCTCCACAGCATTGCACAACACAGGTGCACTCACATACATGCAGGCAATACACTCATATACATAAAATAAAAATAATAAAATATTTTTTTAAAAAGAGTATATTACACATAGATTTTTCTTAATCATTTAAAATCTTCTTTCTTGAGCCATTTGTTTTTTTCTCTATAGTAGACAAGGGATAGCTCAGACTTCATTCAGCACATGTCAGTCCTCGCCCAACACTAAATGACCCCAACCTATTAGTTTTTGAGTATGTTTATTTCATCTTTTTAAAATAGGTTATATAGAATTATTAAAATAGAGTTTTTTTTCTCCTCTCTTCTTTTTTAGTGTAAAAGTGTCATCCATGATTTTTGTTTGAGAGAGGCTGGTTGATCAGTAGTTGCCTCTTGTTATTACCTTGGAGGGCTGCTGTTGTTTGTTGCTTCTGGTCTGCAGGGGGTGGGTCACAGCAAAAAGATGTTTGTGATAAAGCTGTGGAGTAAGAACAGAGAAATACTGCATTTGGCCCTTTGGGTCGTGTTTCACATGGCAAAAGTGCTTGGGTTCTAGCTGTGACCCGTCACCCCCTTGCAGATCAACCCATTGGCTGTTTCCCCTCTGTCTACTGCTTGCTAAATAATAAAGGCTATGAAATTTGGGACCCCAGGGTAACCTTCATAACTTCTCCTCACTGAACTGAACCAGTCAGGAACAAACTTGGAACTGAGGGCTTTTCTTTTAGTTTGCTTGCTTTTTTCTTTTTTCTTTCTTTTCTTTTTTTTTTTTTAGGCAGGGTCTCATGTAGCTCAGGCTGGCCTAGAACTTGCTATGTAGCTGAGGATGACCTTGGACCTTGAATTCCTATCTTCCTGTCCCTACCTCCCAAGTGCTTTGATACAGACATAAACCATGAACATGCCCAGTTTCAGAAAGGCTCTTTTCTTTTCTGATACTACTGTCAAAACTTAGACCTTTAGAAAATCCTCAGAGACCTGCAGAGCAAGCCTAAAGGACTTGAACTTCTCAGGACAAATACCCCGCCTTCAAGTGGGTTCTCTTCCTGTTTAGCTTGTGGGAAGGGAGACAGGCTTCATTCAGGGCCCTTTGTGAACAGCCTGAGTCAGGAAACTTGAAATTTGGGGTCTTGGGGCTGGAGAGAGATGGCTCAGCAGTTAAAGCACTGGCTGTTGTTGCAGAGGACCTGGGTTTGGTTTCCAGCACCCACATGGCAAATAACAACGGTCCTTAACTCCAGTTCCAGGGGATCTGACACCCCCTTTTGGCCTCTGCAGGCCTTGCATGCACAGGTGTACTAATAAACATGTAGGCAAAACACTCATACACATAAATAAAAATAAATATTTTTAAAAAAGAATTGGGGGCCTCCATATAGCAGACAAGTTCAGTTTCTTTGATTCTGGGAAACCTCACAGATTTTGGGAGTACATAGGTCCAAGGATCTCCCCAATGTTAGCCCACCCTCCTGGAACTTGCCTGCCTCTATCTCTCATAGCCAGTTGCTATGCTCAAAAGATGGCCCTGTTTCTCTGTAAAAGTTGTGAGAACAGTCACTCCATTATTATACATGTTAATATTAACTTCTACTTGTGAGAACTTAGTCTCAGAGTGTTCTAGACATTTTATATAATTTCCATTTTACCTCGCTAGCACTACTTAAGATGGTATAAAAAAGCATAAGCGTATGCAGTGTTCTTAACACCTGCCCGTCATCCTGTGATATTTCTTATGGATTTAAGCTCCATGAAGACAGTGAATTTTTTCACTCATCCCTGCTGTATCACCAGGGCCTATCTGGCACATAGCAGCTGCTCAACACATATTTTTCAAATGAATCATACATGTCATTTGTTAGTTATCCCCATTATTACAGATCAGCAAACTAAAGCTCAAACTGGCCAGGTTCTCGCTAGGAAGTGAGCAGCACAGTTGTCTTCAGAGCCTGCTTGTACCTCACAACCACACTGCCCTGAGAAGAAGGAATGATTCTAGGCATTAGGAGATAGCTGTCAGATGGACTGAGCTCCTGGGTGTGTGCTGCTCAGACCTGGATGATGGAGAAGATGGCCTGTCCCTGTGAGCTCCACTTCACCTGGCTGTGCCACACCTGCCTGAAGCCTATTTCTGAAGCCTGGCTGTGTGCTTCTTTCTTCCTGAAGTTTTAAAATGGTTTGTTAAATATGAAACCTTAATTAGCAAAGGTTACATTCCTGCTATTGTTTAACCATTTCATGAGCCATCCTGTTTCCCTGAACAAACTTCTGCTGTGGCTTCTTCTATTATATTGACTTTGAAAGTCTTTATCTTACTTGAAATATGCTAAGTTTTCAACATTTCTTAAGTCTTCTCAACATACACATGCATGCATGCACAGGCTAAATGTGACTATGGGGTGATGAATATGTTAAATCTCTTTATTGTGGTGATTATTTCAGTATGCATATATCAAGTCATCAAGTTATACCCCTTAAATATAGACAGTTTAAAAATTGTTAAGTAAAGTCCACATGATCTTAAAGGAATATAGGAGCTGGAGAGATGGCTCAGTGGTTAAGAGCACTTGCTGCTCTTGCAGAGGAACAAAGTTCAATTCCCAGCATCCATACTGAGCAACTGTAACTTGCCTGTAACTTCAACTCCAGGAGATCCACTGCCCTCTTCTGGCCTCTATAGGCACCTGTATGCTCATGGCGCACATATAGACAAGCAGGTATAAGCACAACACATAAATAAAAGTAAATAAAAATGTGAAGATCTCTACAGGGAAGATGATTTTGAAGAACAGTTTTAATGAATCAAAGATAACATAACAGAGCTTACATATACTTTGGAAGAATGTGGCAAACTATAACTAAATTCAGATTTGCTTGTTTTTTTGCAGTGTTAGAGATTGAACTTAAGGCCTTGGACATGCTAAGCAAGTGTTCTACTACTGAACTATATCACTATCCCTCTTACCTATCTGTATATATCTGTCTGTCTATCTATTATTTGAAATAGGGTCTTACTAATTGCTCAGGCTGACCTGAAACTCGCACTTTTACTCAGGTGGGCCTTGTATTTTAGACCCTACTGTAGTAGCTAGAATTACAAGCTGCAACCACCGAGCCTGGCTCAGAAATCCAGTTTTATGACATATAAATCAAGATGGATTCTTGTCCTTTGCTTTGATCTTTGCAGATAAGGCATTGTGAGATCTTTCTCTATTGTTTAGATGACTAATACAGGTTGCTTATTCTCCAAGTTTAATTTGGAGTTATTTTTATTTGTCATCTGTTAAACTTCTAGCCAGGCATGCCCAACTGGCTCCATGCAGCTTAGGACAGCTGTGAATGTGACCCAATACAAAGCCATAAACTACTTAAAATATTATGAGGTTTTTTTTTGGCAATTTGTATCTTTTTGCATTTTTGTAATTTATTGTTGTTTTGTTTTTGTAATTCAATTGTGTGGTTCTTGTGTGAGCTTTGTAGATAACAGCTCCTGGGTTACAATGTCAAAAGGTCAGATACACCTGCCCATGATTTTAAATGATACTCAGAGTCCCAATACAAGTACAAATTATACATTTTCCAACTTTTATTTCATATTGCTTACAGGATTCTGGGCAAATAAGTGCCACATGATCAAACCAGAACTGTGGTGAATAGAAACCATATCTTTCCCCACTGCCTCATGCTGAGATCACAGACATGGAAGCTGTAGAGGATATACTTGCCATTAAAAAAAGCCTTTACCTTTCTAAGCAGTTCTGAAGAGTGTTTCCTTAAATAAAACTCAAGGTTTTCCCCCCATTTTAGTCAAAGTAATTATATTTTTATGAAATTATGAAAGTGCTCCTTGGGTTTCTTTTATTCTCTGTGTTTGCTATTGATTTCTGCTTGTTTATGTACTCATGGGGACCTTAGGAGATACATATTATATACTCTTCCCCAGGCAGGACCATATTGAAGTCATCCTCATAGAAAGCATATTTCCTTCTAGAATGGCTTAAGAGATAAAGGCATCTGTGGATGCCGTGACAGTGGGTCCTTAACTTGGGAAGTTTTTCCTAATGTCTAACCTAACATCTTTCTCTTCTGATCTTGTTCAAAAAATAAAAGGAGCTGAGAGTTCAAAATATATCTTTTCCTGAGTTTATAAAGAAAGTTTTGCCATCTATTTTTTCCTTAGGGGTTGAATACATAGTCATATTGATATAAACACTAGTATCCTCATGGTAGTGGGTGTCAAAAAAGGATCAGTCCACTTCTTCATGCTTTAGAGAAATGAAGGAAAAGGGAATAAATATGGGTGATTTACTTCACAGTTGTCAGGATGAGAGCACATACCTTGTAGATGAATTTGCATTCTTAGAACTGTGGGAATGGTTTTTAATTTATCTTTAATTATTTTTAGGTGCATTTTGATCAATTCAAAGAAGCATTAATACTTATCTTGTCTAGAACTCTGTCCAATGAAGAGCACTTTCAAGAATCAGGTAAGGACACTAACATTTCCTCTCTACATTCTCCTTTTTAAATGTATCCAGGGAAGGGCTGGGGATATAGCTCAGTGATAGAGTGCTTGCCTGGCATGCACAAGACCCTGGGTTCAATCCCCAGCACTGCCCCACCCCCAAAAAGACTGAAGAGTTTTCTGGGGAAAATGTGGGGACCTTGAAGCATGCCTGTGAAGGATTTGAGATATCTGCCCTTCATAGACTGAACCGTTATTTCCAGAGACTTCTCTTTTGATATTATCATAAAAGCCTTGCAGCTGTTGAACACTAAAACAAGACTTCTCTGTTACAGCAGCATATTATATGGAAATAATTGGATTATTCCTATGCCAGTGTCAGGTGGTGTGGTGATAATTCATTCTTAGAGGGAACACAGTGGAGCGGAATGGTGGTTCCTTTGTCCTTATTTCCAATGATGCATGAGTGTGTGGTTTAGGGAAATTTTTCTTGAAGGAAATGTGGCACACTAGAAACAATTCCATCTAGTCTGGTGAGTAGATAACATCCTGTTTATAGATGTGACCTAATGAGGATATGATAATTGTCTGTCCCCCACTCTCAGATGATAGCTCTTGAAGAGTCTGCAGTTCATCTGCATTCCTAGGACCTAGAAGAGTGTTTGGCACTTAGTAACTATTCATTAACTCATGAAGTAAGACTTACTATGGCACTTCATTAATTTTTTAAAGTACCATACATTGTAAGAGATACATTTTTATGTATCTCTAAACAGAGAATTATTTTAAATATAGTGTAAAATGCTATTGATAGTAAAATATATTCTAATTTAAATGTGTTCACATCTGGCATTGGTGTGTGTGTGTGTGTGTGTGTGTGTGTGTGTGTGTGTGTTACAGGCTGTTTTAATAAAATACGGTAACTTTAAGGGGAATTCTAAAGTGTAGACATTTATATTAAAGGACAGAGTTTTATGAAATTATTTGGTTGTGATGGGCTGGAGAGGGGCCAACTATAAAAGGACACTGAGAAATTTTTTATCTTATGATGGTAGTTCCATGATTCTGTGAGCTTTTCTGACCCATAGGCTGCATACTACATACTCAAGGATAAAATTTACAAACTTCAGTAAGTTCATCTACTAAATTTAGTAAATTAGACCTCAATGAACCCGACTTTAAAAAAGAGAACATCATAACTATAGTCTAGTTTGAGACTGAGCAGAAGTCATTAGCATCTTGTGGCTGCAGTGTGACTTGTTTATGTGGGACACAGGTGGGGAGCTCATTTCTTGTCCTCATTGGTGATCTCAGTCTTCATTGTACTTCTGGAATGTTCCAGATTTGGGCCATGTGTCTGAGCATTGCCTTCAACAGTGTTTTGGGTTCTGAGTAGTGTCTCCCCCTTTTTGCTGATGGTAACCAATCTTAAGAAGGCTGTTCTCAAGCCCAGGGCTTGGTAGAGCTCTCTAGAAGCTCCCAGTGAGCCAGAGAGAGATGTTCTTAACATTCTTCAGACTTTTCCAGACTAATAGTAGAATTCCCATAGATGGGACATAGACTTTTGTTGCTTAAGGGCTCTCACCACATTTTGTTAGTATTTTTACTTTTAAAAAGTTGGTCATTTTAAAGCCGGTGTGGCGGCGCACGCCTTTAATCCCAGCACTCGGGAGGCAGAGGCAAGCGGATCTCTGTGAGTTCAAGGCCAGACTGGTCTACACAGTGAGTTCCAGGACAGCTGGGGCTCCAGGGAGACCCTGTCTCAAAAAGACCAAAACAAAAAAAGTTGGTCATTTTGATAACAATCGTGAAAGATCTAGGGACCCTGAATTGAGTGATAGATTTTAACTAAAGTACGAGTGGGCAATTTAAACATAAATTCCATGTCCTCATATGGTTTCATGTGAATTTGGAACTTTAATAAGCATGGTCTACATAGGGAGTTCCAGGCCAGCTGGGCTACAGGAAAGACCCTGTCTCAAAAAGACCAAAACAAAAAAAGTTGGTCATTTTGATAACAATCGTGAAAGATCTAGGGACCCTGAATTGAGTGATAGATTTTAACTAAAGTACGAGTGGGCAATTTAAACATAAATTCCATGTCCTCATATGGTTTCATGTGAATTTGGAAAGTACAGACTTGCTACTAGACCCTTTGGTCATCCTTTCTTGAAATTCTGTACTGTCATCTGCCAGAACATTGTTATCATAAAGGTTCAGGTTTATGGTGACCACACATGTGGAGGCTACCCCTACAGCTGTGACCTATGGGAACCCAACAATAGCATGAGTGTCACAGCAGCTGGTGGAGCTTGAGAACTACCAGAGTCAAGCTGACAAAGCTAGCTGCAGATAGAGCCTTCCTCACTATGTGTGGCCCGTAGTACTGTGCAGGCAGAGGCTGTCATTTGGACCAGTCTTCCTGGACCGCACTCAAGGCATTTTTATCATTCCATCATGTGACAGAGCTGCCCCCAAATCAGTGGGATGCAGCAATAAGGGCCTGTGGACAGCGTTTCAGACAGCGTTTTGGTGATGCCACTGATGCTTGTCCTGGCAGGATGAAGTCTAGAATGAAGCTTGTGCTTCAGCAGTGTTTTACCTACCAGCATGAGTCAAGTCCTAGCCCATGCTCTCTGCTGTGTTCTGAGCATCTCTGCATTTCTGCCTTTGGCCTCTGTCTCCCTGGCCCCTCCAGTTGTTCATGGGACTCAAGCAGTTCTTTCCACTGAAACATTCTCTTCACTCTCGATCTGACTCTTCCGTGTGCTCAAACTGACTGGGTTAGGTGAGGAGAAAGACGAGGAGGGTCAGGGTTCATGTGCAGTGTAACAGGAGACAACCTGAGTTCACCACATCTCTCCCTTCATGAAGCTGAGTATCCCTTAAGTCATAGACGCAGCATTTAGGGGCAGAGAGAGCTCTGCCATTTTATCAAATGGCTAGTGGAAGCATAAAGGAGGGCAGAGCCTAACTGAAGCCCCACAGATGATGGCAAGGGAAGACCCTAACACTGTGTCATGTAGAGGGCCTAGTTTAAAGATTTTTAATTTTTAGGTAGATGAGCTATCCTCACTCAGTACAGCCTGACTCAGAGTCTGCCAAGGGGTCCAAGTCAGTGGGAAGGAGTTGAATCACAGCAAGTTCTGCCCAAAGGTTAGTTACAGAACTGCCTGTGTCCTCACCTCATCAGGCTACTCAGAACTTAACTCTTTCACCACATGGGACTAGGCTGTCATATGTCTGTCATGCCTTTAGAGCTCTTAGGGACTCTGAGAGAAAATATAAAATCAGGAAGGCGATGGAAAAGACAGGAGGGCCATAGCCTGAGGGTCATGGAGTAATATTTTATGACACTAAGATTTCTGTAAGATAAAATATCTGGTGTCTGTATTAGGTTCTCCAGAGGAACTGAACCTATGGAATGAGTATATGTATGTATTACATGATGTACACATGTATGTGATACAGTGGGTTTTCTAGTTTGTCTTACATAATAGTGACTGGGTAATCCAGCAATGGTGAGGCAGAGAACTAGGGTGCTCAGCAGTCCCAAACTGGCACTGAAAGCCTAGAAGTTCCTTAGATAGTCACTGGTATTGAGCTCCCCTCCAACCACCGGAGAAACTGGAGAATGATGCCCACAAAGGGTCACAGCAACAGTGATCTTCCTACTTGCTCAGAAGAAAGGAAGGCAGGTGTTGTACACACACAGTGCTTTTTCCCTGAACTCCCTTTGTAAATCTTGGCTGTCCTAGGTGGCAGTGTGGCCGACATTGAAGGCTGGATCCTGCCCCCAGTCACTTTCTCACATTAGTCCTCTCTGGAAATGCCCCCACAGACACACAAGTGTGTTTCTTCAGTTGTAAAGTCTGCTAATCCATTGATGTTGACAGCCCCACCAACCATCACAGTACCCTACTAGGCAACAATCTAGAAAAGTCACCTTGATATGATTCAAATAAATCCTGGCTCCAGTTCTTTAATAGTGTGGCCTTGTATGCCACACTTCTGTGGTCTTTGGTCAGCTTAGATCTAAAAATGGTTATGGTGGAACCCTTTCAGTTTCCAGATTCAGTTGTGTTGTCTCCTAATATCTAAATGGTATTATTTAAATCTATGGGCCGGGGTGGGGGGAGAATCCACTAGATTTCTGTCTCCATAAGATTTTACCTAACATAAATTGGCACTCTTGAATTATTCCTAAGGACAAATGCCCACTGTATCTCATGCTTTCTTAGTCTTCTGTTAAAGGCAGTTGTATATAATACAGAAGCAAAGCTCTAAAAGGATTTGAAAGGACATAAAATTAAGTCATATTTCTGTAGTCTTGGGCTCTGCCATTTATACCTTCTCTGAGGCACTGTTTCTGTGTTTTTTAAATGAGAGGAGGTAGACTAGGTTATTTTTAGCATCTTTACAACTCTGACGTTTATGATTCTAAGACTGTGGGCCTTTTCCCTCTAAAAAGCAATAACAAATCACAATGAAATTTAGATAAGGACAGAAAAGTGGACCTGTGAAGTCCTTTGTAATTTCCAATCTAATTAACATTGCCAGTGATGATGTGCCTTCATATCTGATATGCTACTTAATTTTAAGTTATATTTCTGGAATAAGAGGGGCAAGAAATTATTAACTGTTGATTGAATTTGCAATGGCTTTGGATTACTGGAATTTTGTAGTGGAAATGCTCACACAGACGCTGTCCTGCGTGGTGATGCCATGCCCCTGGCTCCCGTCTCCAGAGATTTTGACCTCATTTGATGTATCCCACATTTGATTTCTGTTGTGGAGTAGATGCTAGCATAATGTAAGAATCCCTTTGAAAATTGCCCTTGTTTATTGGAGGGGAAGCTCAGGTATGGAGAAGCTAGCTCACTGGGAAAACAGGACTAGGCACCGTTTTACTGCGGGTGGTGGTTTTCTCTAACAGAGCTTCCTAATTCTAAGAACCACTCCAGTTTAATTGCAGGCATTTTCCTTATATTTTCTAAAGGCCATAAATAATAAACAGATGCT